CAAGAATCCTGTCTGCTCATGACAAAGGGACCCATGCAGAAGTTGTTGTGAAAGTGAAGAAGGTCCTGAAATCAGGCAAGGTGAAAATTGCCCGGAGCAACAGAAGCATTTACCCAGAATCCTGGACCAACAGGGGCTGCACATGTCCCATTCTCAATCCTGGTAAGGACAAAATCTTCACTGGGGCTTTTGCTTCCCCTGAAAACAGTGCTTAGGAATATTTGTGATTAGCCTTTCTGGGGCAGCATCCTTTGATTCATCCCACCAAAGCATGTTTGCTTTCCAGCTCACAGTGCTCAAGGAGGGTGGTAAAGGCAGGAGGGTGGCAAAAGCATGAGCAGCAGCTGCCAAATCCCTGCAGATCTGTGTGCAGAACCTCACTGGAATGAAATCATTTATAGCTATAACCCCTGAGCACAGCCCTGACACCATGAATCTGTGTGCCCAGGAACCAGCAGTGACAGGATGCACAGGGATTTGTACACATAAGATGGCACATGCATAAGCTGGATGAAATTGGCAAAAATGCTCTATGCCAGATCCATATGAAATAGAGAAATTCTGGTTTGGTTCTTTCTTATTCTATTTGCTAACTAAAGGTTTTCCTTTTTTTTTTTTTTTTTTTTTAACTAGGTACTGACTATCTCATAGCAGGCCAGGAGGACTCTAGGACTGGCAAACTCCTCGTGAACATGAACAGCCTGGTGAAACCCTGGAAGGCATATTTGGGAAAACAAGTATCAGATATTCTCAGAACTGGATGCAAATAATTTCTGCTTCAGAAATTACAGTGCTGGACTTTGCCTTTTAGTAACACTGCAGTGAAAGGTGTAGTTAGTTCAAGCATTCCCATTCAAGATGCTCCTAGCTGAAGCAAGGAAAGCAGACTTGCCATCCCTCCTTTCATGTGCTTAGACAGGAAACTTGGGACATAACTACTTTTTTTAAAAAAATGCACAACCTTATTATACAGAGTTACCTAGTGCATCATATATAAATCACAAGTCAGTTGTCCACTTGAGCCTGATTCCAGACAGAATCATTTTACAAGGCAAAACTAAAGACATGTACTAGTGTTTCCATACTTCAGGTCAGAGTCTGATATTAATATGCATAAACTGCTTTCATAATACATTCATTACTGGAGTGTAAATTTTATTTATAAGTGACCACTAAAAGGCAGCAATTTCTTTCAGCTTTACAAGTGGCATAATACTAAATAAGCATATAAGAGAGCTCAAACTGATTTACCATCAGACTGCAATTATGCCAGTACAATAGGCTGCTTTCTAGAAGCCAATATTATCCCACTGCCTACAGAAACAAATGTGTGGCTTATCTTGGGACAGTGTCCTTTAGAGATGTGCATCATGTATCATCATGTATCATCAAGGCTTAGTGCTGAGCTCTGCTGCAGAAACCACCTTGGCTCAAACCAAACCATCCCAAACCCAGCTCTGTGCTCTAGTACTTAGTCTGCAACACCACAAAGGTTTCACAGCAATAACTGCAAATAAGCCTTAATTATAGGAAAAAGCCAAAGTGTGAGGAACTAGCAGCTGCTCTAATACTGAAATTGTGACACTACAAAAGCCACAAAGCAGAAACAGGAGGTAAATGGATTGGTGGGAGCATGTATCACGAGGTAAGCTGTAGTTCTGGGAGAGCAACCTGGCTGTTCCAACTGTGCTCAAGACCACTGGCCTTCAATTGCACTTAGTGCTTTCATTGTGCTTTATTTCTCTTGGTCACACTTCAGGGTAAGATGCTGAAGATGCTGATCCCATAGTGCCTGAGGATTATTTCTCCCTCTGCAAAAGTACAGGAGTGGTAACATCTGCACTTCAGGTAAAATTAGTTCTGCTTTGCAGAAGCATTATTTCTAAATCAATTTTATCCTACAGTAATCAAGAGGTAGCTACTTAAATCCTTCCCTAACACAGAATTGTGAGGAAATTGAAGTTTGAGATGTGTGTCCCCCATTTAAGGACTTACAACCAAATGAAGTTGATTGGAGCACTCTCTCTTCAACTAAGCAAAAATCACAATGAATCAATCTATTCTTTCAGGGAGTTACAGAGAAAGAGAAGTACACATGCTACTTTTGCATGTTTCAATTCCATGGCTAATTTTTAATGCTCCTAGGGAAGAGATGTTTTCATTTAGCACTGACTGGTGAGACACCTAGAAACCCTAATACTAATGCAGAACAACAGAAGTCCAGCCTACAACTTAAGCCATTGTTTTGTTCTCTTTACCAATGAAAACATAAAAAATCAGCCTCTTCCATTCTATTCACTGCTCTTTTACTTTGAATTTCACATTGATTGAACAGCAGAAATATTCTCAGCTCATTTGGAAATGGATGACAGGCAGATCTTTAAGAAAGCAAAAAGCTCCAATTTGTTTCCCAACAGGATATAAACAGTGTTTCTAGTGTTTCCTCCTCCCTCCTTTTCAGGAAATTTCCCTTCCTCCACTGCTTTCCCCCTTTCACTTCATAATTTATTTGTTGTTACCTAAACTGGTATCCAACAATGTGGCATCTCCAACAAGCTATTTAATTAATGCAATAAAACACTTTTTAACCAAGGCAGTTGGCAGAATTTGAAATGTCAGCCTTATGAAATTAGGAGCCCAGCAACTGCTTTCTTTACTGTCTCCAGAAATTGTCTCACAATAAAAAGATTAACTAGTTCTCTTTCAAATATCAATAAAGACCTGTACATGAATTTACAGTCTGATCTCAAAGGGCCTCTCAGAAGAAATGAAATTCAAGTGTAGGTTTACAATTAACCTGAGGAATGTGCTTTTCAACAGGGGCCATTTTACCTGCAGGGGATCTTATTTAATGACAATGAGGATATTCCATGTTGGTTTATAGTCAGCACCATATTAAAGCAAACACCTCTATTATTTTTGTGCCAGACTGGTGGTTTTGTGGGGAGGGTAAACATCTGCATAGTTCTTCTCTGTCAATAAAAGTTATTTTTTGACACATTCATTTACTAGCATTATGAGGTACTGCTAGTAGAAATACATCTTGGAACCACAGAGTAAGAAATCAAGCACCCATTTTCCACACAGCATTCTATGAAGGGAATGAGTGCACAGTGAGGGGATGCTTTACCTTTCTTAGCAGCTGTAAGGAACTTGTAACATTCAAAAACAAATAACTGGACCTGCCATTCAGGGTACAACAAACCCTGTGTCCACCTACCCTTCACACCATTGTTGTGTCATCTGGGTTAATCTGCACTGTAGAATCACCACAAATCCTCCTGTGCTCTTTATTTTGGCCTTCCTGAGCTGTCTGCTCACAGATCATCAACACTGATTTACAATAAGCCATTTTAAGAAACAAACAAACAAATTGGTGCTATAATCATTGCTGCACTCTACTCTTCCTCTGTTGGGTGTGTCTTCTCTCAGCTCCACCATCACCAACAAAACATCAGCTCCAGAGGGGATAAACAGTTGAAAAACACCTGCAGACAGGCTCCTGTTCAACAAAATGAAATCATGTCCAGTGAAGAGAGCTGACTAAGAATAAATGACAAACTGCTGGTAGCTCCCCTACACTGTCCCACACTAACACTGATAGAATTTTAATGAGGTAAAACAAGAGTCTGGAAGCACACAAATTCCTTTTTTCCTTCCCTAGGAATAAGTAGGTTCATTGACGTGTGATCAGATCAGTGCTCAGATAACCAGGAGACACTGCTGTCAGGTTAACAAGGACACTCTCAGTCAGAACTGCTCAGGATATAGATCTTGTTTCCAAAACAGCCCTGCCAGATCCCCAGATCTAATGATCCCTACAATGGCCTGCAAGATCAGTGTCTCTCCTTCTAGCCACCATTTTGTTCATCATTCCTTTTGCAGGAAGAAAAAAAAAAAGTTATTTTTGCACCTGAAGAAAGGCCATACCTCTAGGGAAGTTACTATCACAAGTTGAAGTCAGTTCTCTGCAATATCCTCAGGCTGTACTGCAGAGAACAGCAGAAAAAAAACCTCCTGAGTAACTTTTAATTCTGAAAATGTAATTTTGTCTAATTTTATTTTTTACATTTTAGAATCTAAGTTTTGTTAAAGGATCATCTAAAGTTTTAGAGGCAATCTTTATTCACATCAGGATATGTAATACATGCACCAGATTCAAGTTTAAGTGGATTGCAGGAACAATCCTATCCCAACAAGCAGGTTATCACAGGTTATATATGAACTTGTGGCCTGCATCATATGTGGGAATTGCAGCCAGCTGATAACAGTCCACCCAGCTTTCAGAAACAGAGATTGTGTCATCACTGCACCAGAAGGACAAGGGTGTGCAAAAACTGCAGAATGATTAAAACTGAAAATCTGGAGTGTTACACAGCAATAGAATACGAGGGAGCATTTTGGGAGCAATAGTAGGTCTGTAGGGTGAATACAATTATAACCATGTCTTTTTATTCTAAAAACTAAACAGAGCAAATTCAACTGGAATTCCATCTAAATGTAACTGGCTAAGTAACTTGGATTGGAAAGATAGTCCAATACATCTAGAAGTGCTTCATGTATTGTTAACAGTTTCTGTTAGCTGAACTTTTATAAGCATTTAATCATGCTCAGCACATCAGCTTCTATAGACCAAAGATCAACTAAGGGCACAGAATTAAAAAGCAATATTTTCATAGTAAAAGCTTTCTTTACCCCCCAAGAACTACTTGTGACTTGACACAGCAGTGCCTATGACTTGACATAAGCACCTGATAACATAAAATCAGTATGAAATAACTCTATGAACACAATTTCTCAAACCCATTTGAATCTACTACTCTCTCTCCAAGAACCAGTAGCTCAGTGATGGCAGACAGAAAACCAAGATATTATTTATAAAATATATATATAAAATAAGAAACACATTAAAACAAGAAATTTGCAGCTCTAAGTTTTGTATTCACACAATAAAAATGCAACTTACCATCTGTTTATTTCACAAGCTTGTCACATATTGCCAAGGATCATTTTATCATCTTTATTATATATTAAAATAACCACTGATTGATTTTAGATTTAAAATGGGGGCATGCAACTATAGGAGGAAAATCAAATTAAGCAAATGCTGGGAAACAGAAACAAGGAGTTACATTGTCAATGCATTCACAAGTGCATCAGTTTACACAGCAAAAAAAAAAAAAAAAATTCCACAAAGAACTATTTAGGATTAAAGCTATGACTTCCTTTCTCAAAACACTTGAAACACATTACACAGTGCTTTTCACAGTTTTTGGTCTAATATCCTTATACATACTTCATATTTGTACTGGATGCAGCACAACAGTCAGAAAGCAGCAAATCCATCCTGAACACACCTTCCAAAGTGTCAGATTATCCCCCAGGTCCCTCTGTCAGTATTAGGTGCACATCCCTACCCACTGTAGGCCAAGATTCCCACATTTTATGTTTTGTACACAGAGGCTACAAATACAGTTGCAGAGGATACATCCAAACACTTTAGAGCACAAAGGCAATGAGGGGAAAAAAAGCATAGCAAAAAAAGAAAGAAGAGGCAACTTGTTAGAACAGAGCACCGGCTGACAAACAGCTTTTGCTTCCTCACAGAGTGCACTAGATTTCCATTTGAACAACCAGAAGCTCGGGTGCATGTGATTTTTTTCTAATTTAGTGCCCAGTGTTCATCTATTGCCTAAGTGCCAAAGATTATCTCTGCTGCTTTTGTGCCTGTTTACTCAGGTTAACTTGGCACTTGGCCTCTTATGCCTGAAAGAGCCACACTGAGAAGTTCTGTCTCACTTTGTTTCTTTGGAAAGCAGCAATGCACAATCCCTGCTATCACTGCCCTCAGAACAAAGTAGCTGTCAGCCACTTAACTGCCTACAAACTTTTTTCTGAGGATCCAACAGCTGCACTGAAATACAAACACCTCAAGACACTGTAAATCTTGACCAAAATTCCCCTCAAACATTCAGAAACATCAGTGGCACCGAATTCACTTAAGCAAGCAAGACATGAAAGTGCTACATGGAATTAATGCTACTGAGGACTCCAGGGTGCTGCCCACAGAGAAAGGGAAGAGTTTGAACATTGCTGGACTTTGTGGCTGCATTACTGACACTACAACCCTTTGTGCTTTGGGTGAGGTAGCCAACACAAGGGGAGAAAAAAAACCCAACAACCGCAGCCACAATCTCATTTGAAAAAAAAAATCTCACAGCCTATCTTTTGCTCAGAAAGACAAACAATGGAGTATAGCTTATCTACAGCTATTAAACAATATTGAACTATTACATTATTTGTACCTTTTAAGTAATTTTCAAATATATTAATAGCTGTTCATGTTAATTTGCTGGTTCATGGTCCAGTCTACTACAACTAATGAAAAAGCTTTAGGTTTTTTATGCCTTCCTGCCTGGGCTGGGGAGAAAAGAATAAGACAAGAATAAAAATCTGACAAGCTGGAGCAACTTCACAAGCCACAAATTCATTTGAGATCTGCTTAAAGCACAGAACAGTTCTCAAATCCAATCAGTGTTAACCAAAAACCAACCAAACAAAACACCACACCACAAAGACACAGGAGCTTCCAGTGAGGGTAAAAAGTATTTTCTTTTTAATATGCACTTAAGTCACAGTATCTGTTTTGAGATCATTACACCAGCTAACAATTTATTGTATCTCAGAGTATTTTACAAGTGCCCATCTATACCTTGAAGGAGAAGGTAATAACCAAAGGAACCCAAAAGCTGTATTTTCAGAGCAAAAATAAAGCCAGTGACCAACATTCTTTTCATTCATCTGAATCATCAGTAGCACAATACACCATTTTTAAAAATGCAAAAGGCATCACAGTAAGTAAATGAAATCAAAGACGTTGCATTTCAAAGTTTTCCTGGCAGTCCTGATCTGATGCCAGTAGTAAAACGCAACCATAATTTAGTAACACCATTTGAAATTATTTTAGAAATTCTAGACCTAGACCATTTTCAGTGTCTTGCATCACTTTGGAAAAAATAAATCTTAAAGGAAAAACAATCATTTAATGTACCTTCTACTGACAGAACAGAACACATTAAATAAAAAGCAGCTACTGATCAGAACATACTGAAATGAAGACAGACCTGGTGTGCCAGTGGAATTTTAATTGAAAGTTATGTACTTCAAGACATTACTCAAGTCAAAACTCAAGGAAAACTTGAGGGTAAAGAACAGCTGTTAAAGTTTTAACTGTGTCCAAAACCAGGTTACACAGTACATACACACTCACTCTTTTTGCAGCATTTATCTGCAAGGCTGAAGCTCTGAGATTTCTCCTTCGGGAATAAATTATTTATTATGATACAGTGCACAGAATATGGTGGAACATTTCCTCACTACTCAGAAGACAGACACAGTGCAGAAGTCCATGTCTGAAAATGAGAAATGGAGACGACAGCCTCCTTGCATCTTCATTAGCTGGATCCTTCCTCCTCTTTGGCAGCAGAGGCCTCCATAGAGGCAGCTTCCAAATCCTTGCTGGACTTCTCATCATTTTCATCCTCTTGAGGGTAAAGATCTGGGTATTTTTGCATGCATTCCTGCATGGCACGGAATTGGTCCACACAGTCTGATCCCTTTATTTCTTCTGAGCTATAGTGGAAACAAGAAAAGGCTGACTTGAACTGCTCCCCACAGGGACCACTAGCCATTCCACCCAGACATGGGCAATTCCAATTGATATCTCCATTGGGCAATATCAATCCTGAATAAACAAGAGAGAAGAAAAGTTAATGCACCTTCCAAACAATGATTTCACTCAGGGCTGCAGGTGTGAACTCAAGCACCCATAATGCCATCTTAGTTCTGCAGCTGATAAACACCTTTCACCTCCCAGCCAGTTTGTTTCTCCCCTGATCTGTATAATCCTTTAATGGGCACAAGTGAGATTAGTTCTCTACCCATCTCTGAATTAAGTCCTTCTCCCTGGACTACAGACCACTGAGAATATTCTAAGGGAACTGCAAAACAGATGGAAGTCAAGTCAATCGATTTGCCAGACTGTCAGGGGAACAAGCAAGCATTAAAATCATTCCATATAAATAGTAAGACTTTAAATCCAGTATTAAAACCAGAAATCTTTTAAATCAAATCAAATGGATCCCTTTTTCTTCTTGGTTGAAATAAGCTCTGAAATCATAACTCAGAACTTTCCCCCTTCAAATTTCAACTGGAAGACCAGAATTGCAAAAACAAAAATCAGTGTATTTGTAAAGGTTAAGTCATGTGCCACAGAACACAAGGAACAGCAAGCCTGAGAGCAAGCCTGCCTGTCTGGCTGCCAGAAACAAAACTGTACTTTAGAACACAACTGAAAGGAGTTAAGTGTCACTTCAGACTCTAAACTGGAACAGCTGTAAACCTCTGCTCTGGAACAGTTAAAGTCCTGACAGAAATACTTCACTGGTGGACTGGCAAGGTGAAGATTTAAGGGCATATGTTGAAGAACTACTTTCCTTAGATTTTAAAAATTCAGTATAACAGACTTGGTCCTGTGGGCTTCTAGAGTCTCTAATGCATTTCTCTAAGGCAATAAATACATCTCCATTTCCTTTCTCTACTAGTATGAACATACACAAGTATGTTCATCTGTGAAGAACAAGAGAAGAATTATGCTATGATCCAAGCTGGTTTCTTCTCCACTTAAATAGTTTGCTCTCCTCCTCTTTAGCAGACTTTTCTAACCTCATCTCCATGCTGAGTTTCTGCAGAAGCTGACAGCATGTGCATAAACCTTTCATTTTAAGCACCTTCCCTTTAAAAAGGAGGTATGAAAATACCACTGGCAGACAAAATAGTTGAATTAATTCTGATTCAAATATGAAATTATATTTAACACCTGATACAACCTGACATAACCTAAAATACTGTCAGAGAACTCAAGAAACTTATTTCTTGTCTTTGTCCTGTGGATTAAGAAAGTTCCAGACTCCCATGTGTAATTCCTTGGACACCAGGCTGCAATATCATTAATCTTGACTGGTACAGCAAAAGCAGCTCAATCATTTCATTGCTATATTAAAAGAATATTTTATTGTGATTTGCAATTTATCAGAGATGTTCTCTAACTCAGCCAATGCAGCTGAGCAGAAAATTAGAGTCAGTCAAATCTCAGCATTGATCAGACTCTTTTTTCATTACAGAAAGTAACAGTGTCCTTAGCATGATTCAGTGAACTGCAGTAATACTGTCATTTTCCATGGACCATACTTTATTTGGCAAGATGGTTTTGCAAAATATCTGTAATATTCACTGTACTGATAATATAACACCTAATCCAATGCAATGGTTTTGCAAAATATCTGTAATATTCACTGTACTGATAATATACACCCAATCCAATGCATCACAGCATCTTCAGCTGCCTGGAGGAGAAGCAGGACTTCTGAGACAAGAAAATCAGTGGCTGGTGTCAGATTCCTCATTGCCAAGGATGACATAAAGCAGAAAGATGTTAATCATATGATGTAGAAGAAATACAATTTGCTTTGTAAACTAGATTTTGCAGTCCTACATTCCTCCTCACTAATATTAACTAGTCATTTAAGGTCATTTTTTTAGCACTTTAAGAATAAAAACACCACAATTTGGAATGTTCCTGAAGACACTAGAGCAATAAAATTACTTGTAAAATAATTTTCTTACAACAGATTGGTCCTTTTAGAACCAGACCTGCCTTGTAAACATGCAAATCTTACTGTGAGTTATCCCATAATGAACACATTCTATGGTATCACAAGATCACTGACCTACACCTATTTCATCACAGATATAGCATCAGTTTCAAAAGTTCTGTGCACAGAAACCATGCTTTAGAAAAACAAAACAAAAATACAGATGACTAAAGCAAGCATTTCCTCATTCATAATCACAGCAGAATTCACACATCAATGAGTAAGTCCATCAGCAAGCTTAGAGCACAATTAAATCGGAAACAGATTTCATCCATTGCTCTTCCTGAGTTGCAAGCCTGCAATAGATAGGATTACTATTTTTATTAAAATTGAATTCAAACTTATTTCAAATGCAGCCTGAACCTCACCGATCCAGTGAGTCACAGTCTACTTGAACCTACACTCGTGGAAGAAGAAATAAGCCTGTTTAGATCACTGCAGATCAGGATTTGTGTGAGCAGTTGATTGCTGACATCTCACACCCTAAACTCTCCTGGCTCATGGAAGCTGCTCTTGTCATGGGCAAAGGCAGGCCCACCTGCATCTGTGTCAACACTTGTCTTGGACTCGCTGGGATGAAGTCCCACTGCTGTTCTGAGAAGAGTTTTTTCCCTGTAACATGACAAACACATCCAATAACAAGTTTATCTGCCAGGGATTCACAGTGCAAGATGACAGGAAGCAGGATTGAAAGGGACATCATTAGTCACAGAAACAGTCCTGTATATCTGATCATTCATCAAGTTCTTTCTTACAAGAACGTGGAGTTTGGCTTCATCAGTCCCCTCTAGAAACCACTTTAAAACTGTTTATAAAATCAGATGATAGGAACAAGTCTGGAAAAACTGAAGGAAAGACCAGCAACAATGTGTGTCTGAGGTCCAATTCTATAAGTACTTCTATCCAACTTTCCCATCACAGCTGTAACACTAATAAAAACCACTCTGCATGCATAAAACTCATCATTGCCTTCTTCATATAAGCTTAATAAAATAAAAAAATGTTCAAACTGAAGGCAGCCAAGATGTCAGTGAAAACCAGGAATCTTTCATGTTTAAATTCCACCATCTGCAACACATAGGACTAGAAAGATGCTTTACAGTAACAGTATTATTTCAAAACCACTGCAAATGAATCCTTAATTTGTTTCCATCAGCCACAGCTGTCAAAAAGCACAGACAGTGAACTGTGATCTTCACTGCAGTATGAAATCCTAACCTGAACTTACTCCAGTTTGTCTGCTTTTCCATTTCTCGTGGCTTTTTTCTTTCAGTGTTTTTAGCTTAAAGTGAGTTATTAACATTTTGCCTACCAAACTCACCCAGCTGATACAACAACAACAAAATATTGACAGAAATAAGAGCAGTACACAACTGGTTTTTATCCTAAGGGAAACAGAACACAAGTTTTCCTGACCAATCTACTGATTCAAGTAGACTGCTCAAAGACTAATGTCTGTTAATGTCTGGGACAAAATAAGAACTATCAAAAATTACCAAATACCGAACTAGATGTTTATCTCAAGTATGAAAAAAACCCCTACAATAAAACAAAACCTCAAACACAAGTTTCAGATGTATTAGAAAACAATGCAGATTATGGCAGATCTATATAATGCATCTGTTCTTTCCCAGATATGACTGGTCTCTTTGGCAGAGCAGAAAAGATGAAAAGAGCCCTTACAGGTAACTGTACAACACCGGAAACCAAGTCTTCTATTCCAAGCAGAAGCTAAATTAGAAAAGCCTGCATGTTACATTGGGCACAGGGCACAGCAAAACTCTTCCCAATTTTCTTTTAAATAAAAGCCATGCAAGCCAGAGCTTCAGCATTTCAACATATTCCAAAGCATTTTACCCATGTCTTTCCTGCCCATAAGCTCCATCCCTACTGCTACATTCTGTGATATGTCCATTTTCTCTCCTCTGATCTAATGCACTGTAGCCCTGGGTCATTCAAGAGGTGTTTCAGACTTAAAAACACAGCAGTAATTTACCACATGCTAAGAAGAAAACTCAACAAACTAACAAAGAAAATCACACTACAAGAAATGTCCACCCAAACTTACTGACAGTACTTAAACATAGTTTATAGTTTCTCATTTTGAACCCCACAGACACACTGTGACTGTAAGGTGACATAAAAGCTCCTGGCTTTCCCCCTCTCTTCTCTGATCTAGTGCTGAGGAAGAAAGGGACCTGACATTCTGTAAGTGCAGGACTGCTAGGAAACAAACCATTACCCAAATATATGTGACACCAGGACATCAACAGACTTACCAGTGCAAATGAGAAAAGCTTTTGGATATATAACTGACTACATACAGCAGTAATGAAAGCAAATAAATGCAGTAACATTTCCACACAAACCTATGTACGAAAAAAGTTAATTTTAATGACGTAGGAAGGTGTAGTTCAAATTACAGTACACACCATATCAGCTAACAATGAGACCCTGTGAGCTCCAGCTGCTAAACTGCTTAAATGCTGCCCTCTAAAGGTCTCTGAGACACTTTAGAAAGAATAACCTTCACTTTCTAAGTTTCAAAGAGTCTGAAGAATTGTCTTCAGCTTCAGTTGAGCTGAAACCAATGAAATCCCTTTACACAAAGTGAAGAGACCAAAAGATCTGCAAACAGAGGCAATTAGAAAAAAATAAACCTAAACTCACATTTTCATGATAATTATTAATCCAGGGCAAAATGTATTAAATCATCATTACTGGAAGTATATTTCATTTAAATTATTTTAAATACATTTTTTTTAAATACATTATTTAAAATACACAACCAAAATATTGTAAGTCTTGGTCTCAGAAGTGTTCTGCTCTCTTAAATCTCTATTTGCAGGTCAGATATACTTTGTACAAGAACTGTAATCTTCATGAAAACTTTTATCTTTTCAAAGCATGATGATTACAGTTGAAAACTCAATAATTTTAACTTACCCATCATGTGGCACTTAAAGATATTGCTTATATTGCTACCATTATAGTATTAGCCAGATATTGATTTATATTAAATCAGATACTCAGACATTGCCATATTAGGCAATTTCAGCTGCTCACAGACAAGTGAGCAGCTCACATCAATGACAATAATATGTAACTCACTCCAGCTTCTCTGAAAATTGCCTGCTGTTACCTAAAATAGAGGAAAAATGATCATAATTTTCACTTGATTAGGCTCAAACTTTATTAATAAAAGCAAAAGGTATCCCTCCATATCTCTGACCACTAATCAAAACTAAAAGCCATCAACTGATTATCTGAACAGGCCACTAAGAAAAATCATTACAAGTGTAGAAAAATAAATACTGGAAGAAAATGTGTAATTAGTGATGTCCTAACCTGGCAGATAAAACTGCCAAGGGTTTGGGTATTTACTGCATAACCAGCTGCCCTCAGTCTTTAAATATGCTTAAATTTTTTCTAATTCATGCAGGGTTTGTTTTGTGTTGGACGTCTGTATGATGTAACACCCCTTACTTCTGTTCTGCTCATACTGACCTTGCTCTTCATAAGGGTCATCTGGGTCATCTGCAACCAGCTCAGCACTGCTCGGTGTCTCATGGTCCTCCTTGGTTGCAAATATGATTCTGTCCTTTCCTACCATGGAGGAGACAAGAAGCAAAAGCTCAGAGAAATCTCAGACAGAAAAGAGTCATTTACAAAACTGCTGTACACCACAAGGTAATGAGACTTTCAATGTGATTCAATAATATTGAGAAGGAACTGCTGTATTAAATCACCTTCAATGAGAACAGTTACTAGTTCAGAGGAAAACATACACACTGAAATTCTGTTATTCTAAAGCTCCAATTTTCATAGCAATGTCTTGTAATAAACAGTACAGTTCACTAAACTGCTAAGTTAAAAAGCTGTTTCAAAACAAATTCAAATTATTCCAACACCAGGACTAACACAGGTGACGGGCTTAGAATTAAAAAAAAAAGTGAAAGAGAAACTATAATAAATAGAAGCAAAGTGTGCCACAGGAACTTATTAATAACAGAGGTTTTTGCTAAAGACTAGTGTAGTATTTTACACTAATTATAATTATCTGAATTAAAAACTGAGGACAGCCATCACCATATAGAACTAACTACACTGAAAGGTGCTGTGAACATTACAAGGGATGGAAATCCAATGGAGCAAATTTCCTGCTCTTGATTTAAGTAAAACACTCCATAGCAAGGTCGGGGAGGTTTGGCTGGAAACTTCAGTAGTTTTAGTTTTCTAACAACCCTGCAAAGCTGTAACACACATTCTGAGTGTGGAAAAAATTGTAAATTCCCCAAGAATTCTCCAAATTCATAAAGACCACTACTGTAACTTGGCATATGAGAAATTAGAATCTCCTGGCCCCACAGTGTGACCTCAGCCAGCAGATGATCAGTAACCTAACCTTGCTGAGTAACCATGCATTTAAACACGTCTGAAAAACAGATAAATCTGACACCTTTTAAAAAACAGAAACAGTTTTCTGACAACTCTGCACTGTACTCCAGCAAACTTTACAATGTGGAATGTTTGGTCATTTATTATATGAAGGGAGCTAGAAACACATGAACTCTAACCCCATCACTGCAATTTTGTAGGGTTGCATAAAGCAATTTACAGATCTTGCAAAATTAAACAAAGCACAACATAAAGTGTAAAAGAGGTCCATACATTATGAGCACCTCAATACAGCTCATAGTATGTGGCCAAGTTTGTAACATAAAAATGGCATTTAGAACTATTGGCGCTTTTTTCCAGTCTGAAACGTTACATTCAGCCACTTTACATGACTTAAGAGAGCAAGAATCTTTACATATATATGTAAATATAGACATTTACCTACGCATCTCCCACTTTAAGAGGTGGTCAAGCCTCATAAATACCACCACCTGTACAACATGATACAGAAAAGCTCGCAGTCTACCGCCCTGTCCATCGACCTTCAAAAGGCAAAGCCCCACACCTCTGGCCACTCAGCCAGGCTGGGATAAATGTATCCCCTGCGGGCAG